TAAAATTCTGTGATATAGTTTGAAGATTCTAGATCTCTAGAGATCCAGAATTTATAGTCTAAGCAGTCTAGAGATCTAGAGTCTAGAGTTCTAAAATTCAGTGATATAGTTTGAAGATTCTAGATGTCTAGAGATCCGGGATTTAAAGCCTAAGCGTTCTAAAGATCCAGAGATTCTAGACACTTTAGAATCCCTAAACGCTAAAGTTCTAAAACCCTAAAGTTACTTAGAGTCTAGAATCTCTAGAATTTAGAGACTCACAAAGAGATATCTAGAGATTTTAAGATTTTCAGAAATCTAGAATCCAAAGATCAACAATAGAAACTAAAGTATCATTAGTAAAAATTTGACCGAAATTTTGGCCAAGTAAAATTTCGCCGATCGTGAGTCACCCTCCCGGTGCACGTGCTCCTATTGTTGGAATTATCGATAGTGAGGGTAATCGTAGCCACGGAATCGGGTTTTATAAGCAACGAGGTTACAGGGCCATTATTGAACTCGGTAATCTTTGTCGCAACCCACCCCGACACAGGAGGAGGGTGGGGGAAGGGTAGGACCGAGAAAAACGATCGATATTGTTCTCGCTTCATATTGCCGGCTCTTCGATTCAGTTCCCATCAGCACGGAGGCAATTAGCTCAACCAACCGTACTAATCGTATCGTCATCGGTAAGGAGCTTAACTTGGACTTACCTATATTAAAGTGCAGCATTAACGGTGGACCCAAAGTATTTGCCATCGGGGGTCCATTTCATTTCTCGCTTCTTTATTAAATATTTATTCGTCGAACGATTCTGGAGATTCGTTTGTTCTGTCGTCTCACCGCCTGGCAAATCCGCGGGAAATTTATGGACGAGAACCAGAATTAATTGATACGTATAAGAAAAACGAGAAGCTCAACCTCGACGTAGAGATTCAACAAAATTTTCTGCATCGATAATCTTAATTCACCGTGTTTACATGGTTTTTCGAAGAAATATTCTTGTAACGATTTTTTTCATCATCACGCCACTAAGCCAAATTCAATCCTAAATAGATTGCGATAATGATAGGACAGTTCAATTCGATTTTATGAAATTCTGGGAATCTGCACGCGCAATGATAATACACGTCGAACGGAATTAAGATTGCGAAACGAAATGTTATCGTCGCGTTATGTCGTGATAAAAATGTTGGTACGTCGTGGCTGAAAGAATGACAATTTTCCGTTTTATTCACGCGAGGCGTTTTTCTGAAATAAACACATCAAAACGGCACCGAAAAATGAACGATCAGTGAATATTAATGAATTTTCAAATCAAACGCAAGTATATTAATTCCAATGTCATTTGCAGCGTTGGTTCGACGATCATTAATCGGTGGCTCCTCCTGTCCATTTAATTATTTTCTCCTGGCCAATTTTCCGCAATCTAGAAACCCACCGGTTTCACGGTTTAGCTCGATCACCGAACTACCGAAAATTAATACGAGCAAAAAGCACGGACGATCGTTTTATCGGTGGTCTATGAAACCGCTGCTGCTTCCCGGCAGCAAACTCCCCCAACACAATGAGCCCCGGCGCGTTATTTCTCACCTTTTCGTTTAGCGAATTTTCATGGATGTTCCGAGGGAAATATAAGTTGGCTCGATTCTCACTCGAGTATCGGAGATAGCTTTTTTTCTTTTTTTTTTCTTATCGCGAACGCTAATGAAAAAGCATCCTTTAGAATTGATTAAACGATACCGATGTTAAATTTTCAGTATTGTGACAATTTATTCCAAGGTAGCGATCAAAGTTTGAGCAAGTTTTCTTTTAGTTTGCTTGCTCAACAACATTCACAGAAAGAGATAACATACACGTTGATTGGTCATAGTGTTATTCGTTGGATTTTAATTGTACCGCAGACACTGCACCATAACAAATATCAGGTATAGTTTTCATGTAAGATATAAATTTCAAACTTGCATCTCGTGCAGTATTCGAACCTATCCTAGTAAGCGTTTTGTCAGTCACGAACGAAAAATTATTTGTTAGACGTTTATGCATTTGTGAGAACTTGTCCCGTGATCTGTACTCTATGCAAACGTGTATGAAGAATTCAAAGGAAAGAGCTCGCATATACCATCTGAAACGAACTGTTCTATTTCGGTTTCATTTCTGTCGTTATATATAGAAGGTGCAAGGAACTTGTTAAATTGATCACGAGCCGAGATTCTTATTAAATCGCGAATATTTATGCATTTATCACGCAAAAACATATAAAATATTCAATGCGGAGTAACTCGATAAATTTGTACGCCCTCGGTTTCCGTTTCTTCCCCAGTTACCTCCGCGAAGATTCATCGATTCATACAAACATCCTCAATTCAATTGTCACAGCACGGTACCGCGTATCTCTCCAACTGTTTTTTCTCAAAGTATCTTTAATTTACTTTCTTTGCTCGTGTATTACTTGGTCTAATTACTACGTTTCTGTCTTATAATCACGATCATGCGTGGTATAAAATATTTGTGGCCATACCTTGTTATTATTTCGCTCGAACGTGTTGAGTAAGTACGTGTTTCCCTGGGAAGATAATTTTCGCGTACGCGTGTGTGTAGTCGTCTCTCGATAGCCTCTGAAACGAGACGAGGCTCTGGTGTAAAGGTCAGGCGAGTAGGCGGTCTGGAGAGAAAAAGAAATCAGGTCGTCTACTTTATTCGCGTGTATAAATTCGCCGATATTTGAGAACGTGCTCTTACGTTGGCTGTTACGTAGTTCTGTAAACTGCTCTCTCTTTCTCCCCCCCCCCTCTCTTTCTCTTTCTCTTTCTCTCGTTCTCCCCTTGTATATACGAAAACGTGTACCAGACGAAGCATGGGGTCAACAACCCAGCTACGATCCTCGGTCCTGGATTTATTTTCATCCCCCTTCCCCCGTCCTCCTCCTTCCTGGAACAGAGAGAGAGAGAGAGAGAGAGAGAGAGAGAGAGAGAGAGAGAGAGAGAAAAGAATTCATCGCTGGAGAGAAGCCACCTATTATTTTAAACGCGTACGAAAAACACCGTCTGCCAGCGTTATCCCGCAACGCGATCATTTCGCCGACTTCTCGCTCCCCCTCCCTCTGCCCCCCCCTTCGTTTCTTGTCCCCTCTCCGCCCCACGTATTATTTCAATATATGGCAATAACACGCTCGCGTTCTGCTCACGCGAGAGAAACGAAAACGCGGGGGCAAAATCTGAGAAAGGAAGAGAAGAAGGAAAGAAGATGAAAGGAAGGAATGTAACCCCCCCCCCCCCCCCCCCCC